ATTTTGTGAGGAAAAGATCATTGTAGGGAAATCTGCCTTCATTGAATACCACATCCTTGTTGATATAGATTCGGCTAGACCTACTTAAGCATTTGTAACCCTTATGACTAGGAGAGTATCCCAAGAATAGACACTCCTCTGACTGAGGTTGAATCTTGTGTTGATTGTAGGGTCTAAGTAATGGAAAACAAGAACAACCAAAGACCTTTAGAAATGTATAATCTGGATCCTTGTTATGAATCAGTTTGTAGGGTGATTGAAAACCAACTGAAGAGGAGGGTAGTCAGTTGCAGTTAAAGAGGCATGGTCCCAAAATTTTAGTGGTAAGGCCGAATGGTGAAGCATTGCCAATCCAAGTTCAACTACATGTCTGTGTCTCCGTTCAACAGTGTCGTTTTGATGATGAGCATAGGGACAAGTAAGTCTGTGAATAATGCCTTCTTGTTGTAGAAACGGGATTAAAGTACGAAATTCACCACCACCATCTGTTTGAACAGATTTGAGAGGAGTTTGAAACTGTTTCTCAGCCAAAGCTTTAAAATTTAGAAAATTTGAATACACATCTGATTTTCTACGAAGGAGATAAATCCACGTGTATCTGGTGCAAGCGTCAACACACGTTAAGAAATACAAATAACCACAACTAGATTCTAATGATGCAGGTCCCCAAACATCTAGAAAAACGAGTTCAAGTGGTTTGGAATAAACAGTAGTTGAAGATTGAGAAGGAATTCTATGAGACTTGGCAATACAGCATGAATCACAAAAATCAGAAATTTTATTAACAGTGGGAAGATGAATATTACAAGTTTGTAGGGCTTTAGTTAGGGCATCATGATGTGGATGCCCTAACCGTAAATGCCACTGTTTATAGGTATTGGAAACAACATGATTACATTTTTCAAAAAGAAAAATACAAGGGTTAGATTTAAGAAAAGCTGAATTCTTCTCAATGTCAATATTGATGGATTCCTTCTTCACTAGATGTGGGTGAAAATGATAGAGACCATCTTCACCAAGTTTCCCTTCAAGAAGAGTCTCGTTCAAATCCTGTGATTTGACAAAACAGGAATGAGGATAGAAAACAAAGTAGACATTGTTGTCTTTGGCAAATTTTGAAACACTTATTAGGTTTTTGGTTAAAGTGGGAACAAGTAATAGGTCTTTTAGAGACAAAATTGTGGAAGGATGAATAGGAGACCGAAACATATTAGAACCTATTGAGGCAATAGATGTACCTTGGCCATTGGCCATAGCAATGTGCTCTGCTCCTGTAAATTGAGCACTCTGCAAGAGATATTGAGGATCAGGGGTGGCATGATGGGAAGCACCAGAGTCTGAAATCCATGTTGTAGCAGTGTTTAGAGTTGGAGCAGCATGTTGAGCAGGGGATGCAGCACGCGAATGACTTGACTGGTTGGATGTCACTGCAGGAAAAGTGAAGCCAGGAGGTGGAAGACCAGGACCAGAAAAAGAGCCACCCAAGGGATAAGTAGGCCACGAGACTGGACCTGAATGTCCAAGCATATTGACAGATCCATAGTAGGGAACAACACCAGGGCCAGGATTCTGATGCACATACCCACGTTGAGGACTGGGACCATAGGTGGGGTAAGGAGCAAACAGTGAGTGGAAGGGCAATCCAAAACCACCCAAGGATAAGCTATTGGAAAGCTGGTAACACGTGGAGGCTTCATGGCCACGTTTGTGACAAATTTGGCATTGAACAGAAGAACCACGATTTCGTCCACCACGAGCACCACGGCCACGTCCTCCATCACGATTATTGAAGCCACCTTGGGATTGAGACGGGAAATTCTAAGGCTGAGAGTTTGACATCTGAGGCTGCTGGAAAGCCAAATGGACATTTGGAACAGAGGTAGTTTGGGCAAGATTGATGGATAAGGGGTCTTGAATTACAACGGCCTTTGCTTGTTCAAGTCTTGCTTCCTGAGCAAGAATCATGTTCTCAAGTTCTGCGGGGGAAAGGATATCATCACGACTGACGAAAGCAATGACTGTAGAAATTAGAGAGTCATACTCTGGTGGGAGACCACCAAGAATGCACACAGCATGTTTGCGGGTTGAAACAGGGCTACCAATCAAAGCAAGAGTCTCAATGATGGTGCTGATGCGAAGTAGATAATCAGAACACGATCTTGTTCCTTTCTTCATAGTGCGAAGCTCAAGACGCAATTGTGTCGCTTTGATTTTGGTGAGTGACTGAAAGTGTTGAAACACCAAATCCCAAATCTGGTACGAGTGACGACAGAAGACAATACGAGCCTGAATTGATTCAAAAAGTGTTGTGAGGAGCCAGGAAAACAGCAGCGAATCCTTGCGATCCCAGGCAGTGTATTCAGGATTGATAGCATTGGCGTCACGATCCTCAGCAGTAAGAAATTTCAGTGGAATCTTTGGCCCCCTAGAAGGTCTCATAGGGCACCCAAAGTGAGGGAATCTAAGGGGGATCTCCCTTATTTTCATGGAAAAGATGATGTTGAGGGGTACCTTGATTGGGAAATGAAGGTTGAACAAATCGTTGCATGCCATCAAGTAATTGAAGAGAGAAAGGTGTCTCTTGCCACTTTGAATTTTCAAAGCCACGCCATGTATTGGTGGACATCCCTTGTTAAGGATAGGCGTCTCCATAATGATCCTCCAATTCAATATTGGAATGAATTGAGGAGTGAATTAAGGAGGAGACACATACCCTCATACTATACTAGGGAGCTTGAGAACAAGCTTCAAAGGCTCCAATAAAGACACATGAGTGTTGAAGAGTATAGGCAAATCATGGAGTTATATATGATGAGGGCTGGGATTAGGGAAGAGGAAAATCTTACCATTGTTAGGTTTTTGAGTGGTCTCAACTTGGAAATAAGAGACAAAGTGGAGTTTTTTTCCATATAGAGATTTAAATGATTTAGTTCAACTTTGTATCAAGGTTGAACAATAAAATTTGAGGAAAAATTTCAAGAAAGAAAGCGCTTACTCATCTCCTTATTACAAGAAGGATCACAAGATGGAGGGAAAAAAATTTGAAAAGAAAACCACCTTTGATTCCTTCAAGAACCTAGAGAAAGGTAAAGAAAAAGAAAAAGAAAAAGGAAAATACACCTCATGCCGCCTTATAAGGCCTCCCTGGTAAGGAGACCTCCCCGATGTGGGACTTGTTACATTACCACCCCCTTCGAAAGCCAGCGTCCTCGATGGCTGCACTCCACGGTACTTTACTCACCGGTACTTCACTCGGCCCTTGCCGGTCAGAACCCTCCGGTGGTCAGAACCCTCCGTGGGTAGCCCTTCTCGATTTGGCTGGCTCTCAACGAGAGCACCATTGTAACGAGCATAAGGCTAAGGAGGGGAACCATCCCTCAAAAGCCGGCCCAAGAGGTTGGAGAACCTCCCGCCTTATAAGGCCTCCCTGGTAAGGAGACCTCCCCGATGTGGGACTTGTTACATATGCCCACACATTTTTTCCATTGATATTCTAAAAAATGCTGCAGGAACAGGATTACAGGGATTTGGGATACAAATATAATAACGTGAAATGTGCACTGAAGAGCAGAAATACCAGAGAAAGGGTAGCATATGAGTCCTTGCCATCAGTTGCATCACTAGCTGCTCGGAGAGTTTCTTTTGCCTTAACCCAATCATCATTTTTTAACTCCAACTCACCAAGCATAGATAATGCATTGGGACACTTGTCATTCACCTTCAAGGCATCATTAACCTACAGAAAGGAATGTCAAATAGTAAATCTATATAAATTGTAAGTAAGAAAAAGCAAGAAGGCCATAGGGATAATAGTAACCAGTTCAATGCTTAGCAGAATGTTGTTCCGAGCTTTTGCAATTGCAGCTAGCCTCAGATACGCATCAATATAGTCTGGATACTGGAGGCAAAATAAAATCAAAAGAAACAAATAAGCCATTGATAAATCACATCCCATGTACTAAAATAGTCTTCAAATGGAGAGTTAGTTATCATCCAGTCTTGCCGGTCAGAACCCTCCGATGGTCAGAACCCTCCGTGGGTAGCCCTTCTCGATTTGGCTGGCTCTCAACGAGAGCACCATTGTAACGAGCATAAGGCTAAGGAGGGGAACCATCCCTCAAAAGCCGGCCCAAGAGGTTGGAGAACCTCCCGCCTTATAAGGCCTCCCTGGTAAGGAGACCTCCCCGATGTGGGACTTGTTACATATGCCCACACATTTTTTCCATTGATATTCTAAAAAATGCTGCAGGAACAGGATTACAGGGATTTGGGATACAAATATAATAACGTGAAATGTGCACTGAAGAGCAGAAATACCAGAGAAAGGGTAGCATATGAGTCCTTGCCATCAGTTGCATCACTAGCTGCTCGGAGAGTTTCTTTTGCCTTAACCCAATCATCATTTTTTAACTCCAACTCACCAAGCATAGATAATGCATTGGGACACTTGTCATTCACCTTCAAGGCATCAATTTTTTATTTCCCGAAGGAAACTCCATTAATAGACCTCCAATATTCAATGGTGAAGGGTATCATTATTGGATATCTAGGATGCAAATTTTTATAGAAGCCATAGACAAACATATGGGATGCTATTGAAAATAGTCCTTTCATTCCCATTATTGTAGTAGGTCATGAAATAAAAGATTTACCCAAAGATCAATGGAGTAATGATGATAGAAGAAAAGTTCAATATAATTTGAAAGCTAAAAATATAATTACTTCTGCTTTAGGAATTTATGAATATTTTAGAATTTCAAATTGTAAAAATGCTAAAGAAATGTGGGATACACTTGAAGTAACACATGAAGGCACTAATGATGTGAAAAGATCTAGGATAAACACTCTCACTCATGAATATGAATTATTTAGAATGAATCAAAATGAAAGCATACAAGACATGCAAAAGATATTTACACATATAATTAATCATCTTGCATCTCTAGGAAAAGTGTTTCCTAATGAAGATCTTATTAACAAAGTTTTGAGATGTTTGAGTAGGGAATGACAACTGAAAGTGACTGCAATTGCACTGAATCAAAAGATCTAACAACCATGTCTCTTGCATGTCTATTTGGAAAACTTCAAGAGCATGAAATGGAATTGATGAGACTAAGTCAAAATGAAAATAGTGACAAAAAGAAGAAAAGTATAACACTTAAATCATCTAGACTTTGCATAATTTTTCACATGATTTCATGCCATAACACATCACACGTCATATGATATCATATCATGGCTAAGCCTTATTTAGACTTCTCATCATATGACCTTCACAAGATCCATACACATTAATTGTATCAATGTCAAAGCACATCAATCAACTCATACATGACTCACAATATATCATATCAATGACATACTCACATACTACAGTCAATTATCAATATTAAGTAATACAATGATTACACCACATCCGATACACCTCAAGAAAGAATCATTATGAGATCGTTTAATCATATGTTAATACCTTGGTCATAATCGCTAAGAGATGAATGTCACTAAGAGTCTAAATTAATAGCTTAACTAATCTAGCAACGTTAACACTATCACACATTAAGTCCTTAAGCATAACTATCAACAAAAATACTTCAAGTTGTTAACAATTAACTCATATCGTAACTTATTTCCAATTGTCCTTTCTCATGATTTCTCTTTCCTAAGCACTAATATAGATATCACAAAGCATTCATATCATTAACACATAAGAGTAAACCATTTCATGCTAACACTATGAATCATAGTCCCAAGCCACACTACTAAAACATTCCAATTATAATTATTATAAGAACATTCTTGCCCCTACATCTTTTGAACATTAACTCAATTACTTCCTTATACTTACTAGATCTTATCCTCAAGCTAATCATCCTCAAGTTATCTCAAACTCATAAGTATAACTCATCTTAAGTAGTAAAGGTGACAAAAAGGAAGTGAAAGATAGCCAAATGCCATCACCTAGAGCCTCCTTGAAAGTTTGTTGAGCAAGCTGATACATAGAAGAAAATAGAGCTTAACAGTGTATGTGTGCAGGTGAAGGAGCCACAACATGATCTTTGCAGCATTTTAAGCAAGAGCACAAACCTCAAATTCCCCCCTTTCAAACTGAAGGACACCAATATTATTGAGTAATTCAATCGGTACTTCTTGACCTCCCTTCTTAAAAAGTGTACGAGCCTGAACCAGAATTACAATATCATAGATTATAACAGATTATGGAACTTAAAAAATGAAATATTTAATTAAATTTCGTAAAGATGACATTTCCAAACTACAAAACAGCATATCATAAGCTCTTGGCCCCTTACAGTTTTGAATGCATCCAATGCAGCTCCTGTGTCGGAAAGAATTAACAATTCTCCCAGCTCAAGAAATGCCTGTAATACAGTGAAAAAAAAATTATAAGACAAACAAATAGGTAGATCAAGAATGTTGGTCAAATAAACTTCACTTTTAGCAACACAAGCAATCAATTTAGAGAATCTTATGGATCTTAATTAATGAAGATTATGAACTAAGAAATGAATAATCATTTCAGGAAAAGGAAGGGCTCATGGCAACATAAATGGGAAAAAAGACATCCAAACAAAGGGAACTAAGTCTTATCCATCCCTTCCCTTCTGCGGTCGTTTGGATGCATAGGACTTAATTCGCCCTACCGGCACAGACAAATCTTTGCCCATCAAGAACCTAGATCTCAGTTTTCCCAACATCGGGGTGGTTGAACTGGCTCTTGTGGTCATTTCAACAACCACAGTGGCCATGGAAGATTGGATTTTTGGGAAAATGTGAGTAAGCACTCAGCAGCAACACTATTCGTAATTACACTGATTGAGTATACATTCTAGAGCAATAAACATAAAATGCAACTTCCTAGAAGCATGATAAGCCACTATGCCTATTCAGCTTTCCTAGAAATTAATTCGCCACAAACAGTAGGAACATATACAGTTTCCAACAGATAACACTATCAATAATCCAAAATATATCTTTACAAAGGTGTTCAATAAATTATACAAAAAAAAATACCAGAAGCTTTCACCTGGGCATCACGGGGGTCAATTTTTGTAGCTCTCCTAATAAAGTCCTGGCCCTTGTCAGTTTGACCAAGTTGAACATATATATGCCCAAGCGCCTATAAGGAAAGACAATAAATCAACACAACAATAGGGGAGAAGGAAGAAATAACATCCACTGACAGACAAAAAGAAAGACGATCTAATCCTCCTAATAGCTTTTGCCTCATACACAAACCTAATCATTGATATCTTTTGCTAAGACATCTGTACTCCAATATACAAATATTTTGTACATTTGATTACCCTAAATTTCGGTATTTTTTTCAATAATTTTCAGTGAAAAATTGGGGAAATTATTTCATTTAAGGAATAATTAACAACCAGACTAGTTAACGATAACGGATAATCAAAGGATGGTTATTGAGTAAGTGAGTATCCACTTAGTCCTGGTCCTGGAGTAAGGATATTAAGTCTTTCACAAGTATAACTATAAACCAATCCCTCCTCAACTAATAATATTTTTTACCATGAATTCCTTTTTTTTAATTTTTCCCAAACAAATTTGAATTAAACAATTACTGCACTGATGGGCTTATTAGCAAACATAAATATATACATGATCATGAAATTTGTAGGGATTGATGTTGAACAATGAATGATTTTGAAGACTAATCTACATGTTATGGAATCTAAACCAATTTCTCCAAACAGAATGGCATGTTCTCAACTGATATTTTTCAACCTTGAACCTTACATTATGGCATACATAGAAGTTAAATGATGCTTTTTGTGGCAACAAAATCATTCAGGCTCTAAAAGGAGAAATGATGTAAAAAGGGTGAAAAATCAAAATTCGTTTGATTTCAAGCACTTACTTTCAATGTCTCACAATTATCTGGGTACACCTCCAAGACCTTTTCAAAGTTTGAGAGTGCACTTTTAAAATCTCCCAGCTTTATCTGCACTTGACCCAAGCCTGGAAACATTAAAAATTAAAACAGTGAAATAGGTGGGCAATTATAATGATTAATGATACTATGCAAAATGTCTGTGGTTCAAGCAATATTATCAAAATCAAGCTTTCACATAGATCTTAAGATTCTACTCAATGGAGAATTATAAAACATATACAAACGCCTAGATATCACATAGACAATGAAAATAACCTCTGAATCACATCATTAAACAAAAGCAAAAAATTCACAAGCATAAAATCCAATACTACTCCTAAGTCATAATTTTCCTTCAAATAACGTAAGATTTTCAAAAGGTCACAAAACAATTAATACATGAAAGAAAATAGTCCAAGTGTCTAATAATAGAATCAAGAATAACATAATTATTCACACGCTACATTTTCATATAACTGAAACAGGACCTTAGACCTAATCAATCACAAAACCAATAACCAAAACATAATTGAATATTTAAAGTACACATTAAATATCAGTTATTAGTGTCAAAATAGGAGGGTACAAAATCTAGGTATATTTGCTAACCAAAGAAGCAATGAAGATTTTTATAGAAATGGTTACATCGCTAATACCCTTTTCATGTATAATTGTATATAACAAAGATGCAGAAATGATAGAGTTTCAAATATTATCAAGCAACTGACCATAATAAGGAAACACAAATTCATGGGGCTTGTTGACTTCCTTGACAGATGCCATGTAATACACCCCAGCTTTGTCATAGTCTCCCTGTGGTGAGAAGAAAAAATTAGTGACATCAGCAATATTGCAACTTGAAAGTTGGAACACCAAAAAAAAAAATACAAAGATAGTGACTAGTGAAAATTTTCAGAATCATCCTTAAAATACAAGAAAGTCAAGAAGAGGATTATAGAAAACACAAGCAAGAAAAGATAAGTATTTATTTGAAAAAACAAGAATATATGGATAATGGATCTATAGCAATTTATTAGTCAATTAAAGCAAATAAATCAGTAAAATTTGAGATTTCCATGAGATATAGGGACAGACAATAAAGATATAAAAATCAATTTTACCAATGTGCTGGACAATATCTTGCTGCCAAGGCAATTTACATTGCAGATGCAGGATCATCATAATGCTGATGCATCTACTTTGTAAGAGAACATAATAAAACTTGGATGGAAGGTGGATGCTATTCAATGTCTAACACACTAGATACAGAGACTTTTTATGGATGTCACAACATTGGCAAACCAAACAGTAAGATTTCGAATACAAATTAATAAGCAAAAAGAGACTATTTTAGCCACCCATTCTTGTTCATTATGCTGATTATCATTCTAGCTTCAATCTATGACAAGAAAGCTGACAGTGGTGCATCTACTTCCTTCTTAAGTGATTTCTCGAGGATTGATGAATAGTAAAGCTACAGATCAATCGTGCTATGAAATTTATAGATGAAATTAGTAAACAATAAGGTACTGATAGAACACTAGAATATGCGGAGAGTAGCAATAGTTTTAAACTCACAGTATTATTTAACTCAAAGATAACCAGAGAAATTACAATTTCTCCTACGCTATCAGAGCCAAGGTTCCTCTGAAAGAGCACTCAGTCAAACAACCATGATCTTCCTTAACATGATTCTCACCTAGCCCCCTACTCCCCCCTATAATGCTGTCTGGCCTAACTAACTCAGCGACATCAGCAAATCCACATCATAGAAAACATTCCCTCACTGCCTAGTTCCCCTTCTAGAATATACCACCCATATGGGTGGCTTACTTGAACCTGGGCCTAAAAGTTGATCCCCATCTAAACCCTTTCCATCATCCAGAGCCTAAGGTTTCTATCAAGTACAGTAGTGTTATCATGTTATGAGCAAAAAAATAGATGCACTTAGAAGACTAGAGCATCACTTCATCTTGGAACTCAAACATCTTTCAACCTCTGACAGAGTTCAACCAACCATACATACCCAGTAAAGTTTCAGAAAATTGTCAATGAAAAATGAAAAAAGAGCAAGCTTCCAACCTTGCTATGATACGAGCGGGCTAAATTGTAGTAAGAGTGAGACTTTGTTGGGCCATGATTGGTAACAGCCAATGCAGTTTCAGTCAATTGCTCTACTAAAAAATGCTGACCAGTGAAGAAGAAATGATTCGCAAGATAATTCAGAGCCATCGCACAGTACGGGTATATCTCAAATGCCTTCTGCATTTTTACCATTCCCATCCTGATTCCAGTAGCTGAAAGATGTTATACAGAATCAGAATTAGTCAACTAAACAAGAAGCTTAGAGTAATTAACAAATATGTATGAAGTGCATACGAAAATGATGAAGGAAGAAGAGGTGAACCTTCACTAGTACGCAAGTCCATTATTGCAAGGGCAACAAGAGCTTCGACATTTTCTGGATCTAGCTGAAAAGCATAAAACCATGAAGCATTAGGACATCAGAACCAGCAAATAACTCAAAGTTGAACCACTAGTTATTAAAAGATTCACTTGCCTGTAAAACACGCTCAAATGCCTGTTTAGCCTTTTCAAATTGACCTAATTTGTAGCGACATAGACCTATGCCAAGTCTCACAGCTGCTGGGCAATTGGGATACACTTGCAATGCTCTCTTAAGGTTTGCAAATCAAATAAAAAGGTGGTATTATGATGTGTTCAAGGAACAGAAGAACTGCCACAATTCAAGTAATGAGCAAGGCATAATAAGTTAATAATGATATTTCTACACCATTTTATTACATTTGCATGTTCTATATTTTTGTCCATAGCTTGAAGAAATCAGCCATCAAAATAAAATATCTACCCACTGAATTTAATATCATTCATATAATCCATTGACATTCTATCTTAAAAGACAAGTTACAAAATCACAAAACTAATCCCCAATCCACTAGAATTTCGGCATGATCGTCATCGAAGTTATATGTTAAGAGAATGGCCTCACAGAAATTAAATCCTATCAAAGTTAGTGTGAGCAACACTGATCTAGTTTCAAAGGGTAATCATTTGAACTTGAATAAATAAAAAGGAGTTTTGAATATTGTTTTTTTAATAAAATTGTACAAAGGATATTACATTATATAGACATAACTAATAACTAAAACTACTTCCCCACAAAATGGAGCTAAATTAGATTAAACAAATCTCCCCTAATAAGGAAATAAAGAAACAAATCTGCTACACTTACAAGGGAAAGGAAAATAAAAGGAATAATCTGTGCTAAAATAGAACAATCTACATTTATTAATACTTAGCATTTTTATGTAAATCCTCAATGAAAATGAAGATATGTGAATACATATAGATAAATGTGGACATATGTAAACTGTGATTCATACATCACTTCTCACCAGCAAAGAATATGCCTAGACAACCAACCTTATACAACTCAAGTGAATCAGAAAATCGTCCGCGGTTGAACTCAACACATGCCTGTAGAAATTCAGTAAAGATATTATAAGAAATACAATACATATATGATGAAACTAAGTGATACATAAAACTGGCTACAGGTTTTAGCATTCACATTCTGAAAACAAAAAGAATAACAGATAAACCATAGATGAAAACATATGCTTTTCAAATTTTGAGTAAAAATGTAGCAGATTCAGGTTTAGATTCCAAGCATGTATTCAATGCAGAGTCTGTTTAATCACAGAACTCCTTTGTTCAAATAAAAAGTAGTTGAATGAAGAGAAGCCAACTTGTAACCATCTCACAACTCTTAAAATTATGTGTTGAAATGACAAATGCTAAAATCTTTATGTGAGAACACAAACTTAATATATCTACTAGTATACCTGCCCCAAAAGAGCGGGCACATTATCACGGTCTCCATCTAACACAATCTTAAATGCAGCAGATGCCTGTTCTACTTCACCCTTTGCTAGCAAAAGCTGACCTGTAAGAATTAACTACGCATTAATTTCATTAAGTATCTTTAGTGCATGATACATTCTTCTAATGACACGGGACAAACATAAGGTCTGGAAATCTAGATACTAGTAACTTATATGACATAAGGTAATTACTATAGCATCATGTGCCAAAAAAAAATAATAATCCCTAAATTTATGTCAATAATCAAACATGTTTTAGTGTCATTCAACAAAATACAGATGTTTCTAAATAGTCAATATGCCAAAAAAAAATACACAACATCATGATATACAAGATCATATGATGAGATATAAGGCCATTTTGTTTTAAAAACAAATTATAAAAAGTGATTTTTTAAGAGGCAGACAAGAGTTTTTTATTAAAAAATTCAGAATTTAAAATATAAAAAAAAACAATGCACACAAATACATCAAAGAGTAGAAAATTACTAATTTTATTAAAAAAAAATGTTAAAAAAAGGCCCATAAAACATAATCAAATGAACTCCTTTCAAAATTTCAAGAAGAACTAAATTCTGAAAATTTGAGTTTTATGAATGTTGTCTCAAAAGGGATATTGGATATTTTGCTACAATGTCTCTATGCTACCTAAAGTCATTGTTTTGAAATAACTCAATATGTCTATAACCCAATCCAAAATAACTCTAACAGGCATTACTTTCATTGTTTTGAAATTACTGATCACAATCTAGTTTCAATTAGACACACTTCATAAAACATAAGCAAATTTATATATTCACCTTTGCCAACCCAAGTGGAGGGCTCGTGCATGTCAATCCTAGATGCTTTGTTGTAATATTGTGTTGCCAAAATGAAATGATCCTCCTTTTCTCTTTGTTTTGTCTCTATTTTTCCAAGGTAGCTGTAGTAAGCTCCAAGGGCATTTAAGATAGCAATCCTCTCATATCTGACATCAGCATAATAGTCATCGATTTCTGCAAAATGCATTGAAAACAATCAACAGAGTTAAGTTTATTAATCAATATGGTTAATAGACCAAACCCATACACAAGTGAATAGAATATGCACCAAAATCTATAAAGAAATTAAACCTGGACTGGATCCTTCCTCCAAAATCTGGCGAAATTGATCAATTTTTCCCTGCTTGAAGTACTCCCTCTGCACATACATGATCTTAGATGTTCACATGGGTACAATTATTATCAAAGCAAAGAAAACAAAAAAAAATGCAATCTTTACTTTTAAATAGGGGATGATGCGTAGGTATAAAAATACACTCAAAGTATAAATGTTTTACACTATTATACAATCATAGATAAGTAAATAGTACATACACTGACAGTGTCAAGGATTTCTAGACTGTCAAATCAATCAGAAATCACCAAATATACAAGTTTATTGAATTTTACAATAACCACTTTCAAAAAGTCATAACTAGCATAATTTCTGATCAGTTTACAATGTAATCTTTTTACACAGGGAGCATGGACATTAAACTCGTCATGGATTGCCATATATTAGACATTATTCATATACTCCTTGCAAACAGGAGTCAAAAGAACCACTAGAGCCAATAAATGCCCGTCCATTTTTATTTTTTTTCAGTGAGAAAGATTACAACGAACTTGTGTGGATACAAACTACAATTGCTTTGAGAGATTCTCTACTTTAAAATAAAGAGTATTTTCCTGAAGCTCTCAAAAGCACTTCTAAGCTTGTAGGAGGATTGAACCAACACAGCGAAAACCCGATAACCAACTATCATTAAAATTGAACTCGTCGCAACACAAAAAAACAGAGATGGCATAAGCAAAACCTCAGAACCACACGCAGTTTCAACTAGAAAACCGAAACTGGAGCATTCAATTGGCATAACGCGGAATTGAAAGCGCGAAACGAACCGCAATGATGAGCCAGAGATCGAGAGGGGCTTGTTCGGCCTTGAGGATGTCGAGGATGTCGGAAGCGTCTCTCGGAAGCTGATCGAGAGCAACCCTAACCTCCTCCTCCGAATTCTGCACCGGAATGTACACGGACGCCATTAACGCTCCAAAGCAATGACGAAGGAGTGCGAAACCCTAACGCTCTTATTGCGTTGGTGACAGAGGAAGCACCATCGCACGCGAGAAGAGAACGTGGAAGAAACCCCTCTTTGCCTCTCAACTCTGTCTCTCGAGAGTAGCTTGTAATTTAGGTACGGCCGAGTGACCAGCGCGATTCAAAACGAGAGTCAATTTCAGGATTGTCCTTTTCGGGAGAAGTTATTGGGTACTTTCGGGAGCGTGGTATACCATCAAATATCAATATTTACCGCACGTAATCACAGGTTTTTAATCTTATAGGGGAAGAGATGATGACGTGTCAGGCAAAGAATGGTGCGGTTCAGGTGGTCTCCAATCATATAATTTTTTTTTTTTTTTCGGATATCCCTATCTGCTAGTATTTTAGGCGGTAAAAATAGTGAATAACTCAATAACCTGGCATGTGGTCAGGGGTAATAATAAATTCATACTTTATATTTGACAAGAGTTAGGAAAACTTCTTTAATCTTTAGTTGGAGATCAATTCCAATCATACTAAAAAAATATTATACTTAAATTTTTATCTTTTCACATTATGGTTTAACCTAATTAAGATGAATTGGTACGTTTCAAATTTATCCAATTCAATATTATAATAAAACTTTAAAATGTTTAAAATTTTGAAAATTCCTATTTCTTTTTTGATAGTTTAATCCAATCTAGAACCAACATTTAAAAGTATTTAAAATCTAAGATTAGAAATTATATGAAATAAAATTTTAAAATAAATAATGAAAACAAATGATAAAATCTATGTATTATCTATTATCTAGTATATATTATAAAAGAAGATTATGTCATGAATGTTGAATTTTGTCTGAATGTGATTTTAATATTGACAAATTCTTAGTCTCAAATTTTAAAAAAAGAGTATCCATATGTGCGTTAATAAATTTGTTCAAGTATTTTAACAAAAATAAGATTCATCATAAGGCTATATGACTTTTGATAATTCCTTGAACAAATTAAAAGATTCACAAGACATCTTTATAACAACCTAAAAGGAAATTCAATATATATTAAGGATTGTTGATTAGCACAAGTGTCAATGTCCATCCCAAGTAAGTAAATAACTATCCCAACTTGTTGATCAAAAGCCTTCAATTGAAATAATGTTTCTCAAAAAACTTGTCTTAAATACCTGGTTTAGAAAGCTTAAAGTAAAGACTTACTAAGAAGTCACCTCATTTATAAAAGTTGACAGATATAAGAAAGTACAGTGATGTCAACATCAAGCAAAAAGAACAAAACAAACTCTAATAGATCTATTTGTTAGATGCCTATAAAGGGACAACAACGGTTCCATTTTGAAGCAAACAAGAACAAAGAAGAAAAAAGATTACTCAAGCTTAACAAGCTAAATATTTGCTTCTTCATCATTTGATTTTTCAATGACATCTGCTTCATATTTATAACTCTAATTTGTAATAGAAAAGAAGTGTGAACTCTTCTTAGTGGAAGCTCCATTGTAGGGGATTTACTTGTGGTTTTTGTAATCTTCAAAAACACAAGAAACTCATTCATGTAAATACTTCCTACCCAAAATTAAACGTGTAGTGGTGTAGGAAAGGAAAATGGATCACAACAAATGGTTAAATGAAGTTTCTCAACAGGTGGTTGAGTATGGCTACTAATAATAACAAGTGAATGTGTAGCAATTATTTGTATTAGCAGGTGGTTGAGTTATTATAGCAGTTGATTGTATTCATAGTGAAAAATTTCACAAGATTGTGTGAGGACTGAATGTAACCTAATTGGAGTGAACCAATATAAATCTTGTGTCTATTCTCTCTTTTCTTATCTTTTTTACTTGTTATTTGTCCTATTGCATTTATTGTTTTATTGTTGCATCCTCTACTTCATAAACAACTAAATTTAGAAACTATTTTCAAAAGAAAAAAAACTTAGTATCAAAACTAATTTAAATAACTTATCTTTTGAGAAACAGATTCATAAAGGAATATTTTTTAAAAGGAAACAATTCAACCCTTTCTTATATTCTAATATTCACTTCAATGTAAGTAGATGACATTTGACAACAACATATTCACTCTTTTCTACCTAAATTTTTAATTCTTTTTTATTTTATTTTATAATTCATAAAATATAAAAAAAAATATTTATACTAAATTCAAAATTGAATTATCTCTATCACTATAATTTACAATTGTAAAGGCATTGTTGGAAAAAGTTTTTCCACGTGTCACCTTTCTAACAGATTTTTTTACGGAAAAATTTGTCGGCAATGTCGGGATAAATATCCGTCAGAAATTACCGACGGATAAATATCCGTCAGAAATTTCTGACGGATTTTTTCGTCAAAAAATTTATATTTTCCAATAGATTTGTATCCGTCGAAAATTTGTATTTTTCTTGTAGTGAATTGAGCCACACAAGATACATCTCATGCACACAAAGGGCGAGACTAGGACTTCTAAACCAAGTTATCTCCAATGACTAATCTCCAAGCTTTTACATAAAGGGGCCTTCTCTGATAGTGTATTTCATATCGTACCCATAAAAACACTTTTATGCATATGATGCATGTCAAACAGACTTTGCATAATTTTTCACATGATTTCATGCCATAACACATCACACGTCATATGATATCATATCATGGCTAAGCCTTATTTAGACTTCTCATCATATGACCTTCACAAGATCCATACACATTAATTGTATCAATGTCAAAGCACATCAATCAACTCATACATGACTCACAATATATCATATCAATGACATACTCACATACTACAGTCAATTATCAATATTAAGTAATACAATGATTACACCACATCCGATACACCTCAAGAAAGAATCATTATGAGATCGTTTAATCATATGTTAATACCTTGGTCATAATCGCTAAGAGATGAATGTCACTAAGAGTCTAAATTAATAGCTTAACTAATCTAGCAACGTTAACACTATCACACATTAAGTCCTTAAGCATAACTATCAACAAAAATACTTCAAGTTGTTAACAATTAACTCATATCGTAACTTATTTCCAATTGTCCTTTCTCATGATTTCTCTTTCCTAAGCACTAATATAGATATCACAAAGCATTCATATCATTAACACATAAGAGTAAACCATTTCATGCTAACACTATGAATCATAGTCCCAAGCCACACTACTAAAACATTCCAATTATAATTATTATAAGAACATTCTTGCCCCTACATCTTTTGAACATTAACTCAATTACTTCCTTATACTTACTAGATCTTATCCTCAAGCTAATCATCCTCAAGTTATCTCAAACTCATAAGTATAACTCATCTTAAGTAGTAAAGGTGACAAAAAGGAAGAAAAGACAAGAAAAGAATGAGAAAAATGAGCATCATAATGTGTTACAATCGTGACTCACGAATCACAATTGTGACTGGTCACATCCATAACTTGTCGGTCACGCTTGTGACTAGCTTGGTTCCACTAAGTGTAGAGACCATGGCGGGTCGTTACACTACTCGTCTTATAGTTTGATCTAAAAAAAATTCTCTTGAAAAACGTCTGAGTTTTTTTATCGTTAAAACTTATATCTTGAGGGATCCAGGATAATATTTTGAGTTAACAACCTTCTCCTCTTTGAAAATGATAAACACATTTTTGAAAAGAGAAAATTTTAAGCACGATAGATCTTAGTTGATTTCAATTTATCAAAAGAATGTTTCTTATCATAGCACATATATATATATATATATATATATATATTATGG